ATTCGTGGCAGTGTTGGCGATTTTGCTAATTCCCATTTGGCTCTATGCGACTCAACATGGCGTAGCTTAAGCTTCAGTGGCGATTTTACATAAAATCTGCTACGACTCTCGGAGATCGAATCGCTTTGTGTGTCGTCCTCCCTCACTAACAAAGGTGACAAAACGCCAGTTTTGTGCTGCTTCGGGACCGGCGCAAAAGCGCTCGTTGTGTCCGAAAAAACGGCATAAGCGGCTTCGTCCGCACAAACTTCTTCTGCTGAGACATGGTTGTTTGCCACAGTAGACGATGCCACAGTTTTGACGGGTTGAGCAATTATATCTTCCCTTTCTTTGTATTTTGATGGCACATTCTTCTTTATAAGAACAGCTTCGGCAGCATTTATTGGTGTAGAGCTCTTCACGTTGATCTTTAAACATTTGGTTTTCTGCACATTTTCTGACGCAGTCGCTGGTAATTTGCACTGACAGTTAGTGCAAGCTTCTTCAGACATTTTAAAAGGTTTTTCAGCCATAGATGTGGCTTGGCCAGGTTTATCTTTAGTCTTTTCTTCTTGTGGAACCGATAACTCTTTTGAGGTCGGCTTGTTTATAGTAGATATTTGCATGTTTTCATATAGTTTGCATAACAGTTCTTGAATTTTCACTCCAAGTCTTGAACTTCTGCCAGTATCAGTAGCTTAATTGAACCAAGTCATACCGATATTAAGAATGCAGTATAGAAAAAGAAGTTAATCCAAGTTTTCTAAAAAAATAATCCGAGCAAAATAGATTTTTGATATAACTGCGATAATAATGCAGGGGTGCTACAAAAAAGGGCTTTCGTTTTCACATCGGGGTTTTTCTCTTACAATTTTTAAATTGTTTGTGCTCATATCAATAGTGATACGTTGAGATAAAATGCAAGAAGAAACCTTTTTCTTCAGTCATACAACAAAATTGCGCACAACAAAGTTGCGCACTGTTAGGCTGAGTCCAGAGTCTAGACCCAGCCTAAGATGCTCAGACCGGCACGGCACAGATTGTATGGAAACAGGCTGGATTTCGTTTTGGGGGCGAAAAAACAAAAGGGATACGGTTTTTGTCAAAAATTGCGACGTTTTTTGGTCGTTCGTTTTTTGAGGGGTCTTTAAATTTGGGGCTGACAATGAGAGTCAAAGGAATTCGTAAAATTTCGCGAAAGTCAAGGAGACCTTCGTTTTCAAGAAGCATGAGAGCAAATTCATGCCGGGCCCTCCAGACTTGCTCATGGGCCAGCGCCGTGCCAACATACGCGTGAACGAGCCTCGTATTGATCGATCATGGCACGGCGCTGGCTCGGCACTAGCTAAACAACTCTGGTTGTAGCCCTAGAGCTTGCTCATAATGAAAGGCGGCTGGAGATGCCAGAAAGATATGAATACCAGAATCCCAAAAAAAGATAAGGCTAGCCTTTATCCTGATACTCCCCCGTTAGAAATAGAGCGCAAAGAAGAGGAGTCCAACGCGAGTAGACGTTCCAAATTGGTGCAAATTACTTAGATACTTACTTAGATACTTAGATGGCCCGGCTTCACGTGACGTGCGGGCCCCAGCTCAGAAGTTTCCATTTTTCCCTGTCCCTCGCTTCTGACATCCACGATCTTCTTGGCTGACGTCGATGGCTGCGTCCACGAGTTCCAGGTGCAAAAGTCGTATCCAGCTGATTTCTCAGCTGGTCCATCCGTTTCACGAACACGTCTGCCCATCTCGTTGGAGGTCTTCCTCGGGGACGTTTGGCTTCGCGAGGAATCCACTCCGATGTTCTTAGTGTCCATCTGTCGTCTGTTCTTCTCATTATGTGACCGGCCCATCGGTGTTTGGCTTTCGCGACGTATTCCGCTGGGTCACGAAGACGGGACATTCTTCTCATATCCGTGCTGCGAAGTCCGACTAGATGTTGCTTGCGTCGGGTCATCTTCAGAAGACTGCGCTCGAGCGCTCTGTGGGTGGTCCGTAAAGCTTTCGACGTGGCTACAGTGTCGGCCCAAGTCTCAGCTGCGTAACAGAGCGCCGGGAGAACGGTTGAGTCGAACAGGTGGGCACGAAGCTCCGGGTCCGTCAGTTGGTCGGTGGCTTCCTTCAGGGGCCCGAAGGCGGCCCAGGCTGCTCTTCTTCTCCTGTTAAGTTCTTCCCTCAAGTCGTTCTCCATGTTCATCGAACGTCCGAGATACACGTAGGAAGACGTCTCCATAATCGGGGTGCCTTCCAATTCCATTTCTGCATCTTCGCAAAGGGCGTTCTTCATGAACTGAGTCTTCTTCCGATTTATTCGCAGTCCGATCTTCTTCCCTACTTCGTTTAGTTCCTTCAGCATCGTCTCTGCTTCGGTGATACTGCTCGAGAAGAGAACGATGTCATCCGCAAAACGAAGGTTGGACAGGAATCTCCCATCAACTCGTATGCCTCTCTCGTCCCAGTCCAGTGACTTCATCACCCACTGCAAGACCGCGGTGAACAGCTTCGGCGAGATTGTGTCGCCTTGTCGGACCCCCTTCCCGATTGGTATGGTCAGGGGGCGATGGAATAGCTGCATCGTCGTTGTACAGTCCTTGTAGCAGTCGGCTAACGTCCTCACGTAAGCTGGGTCCACTCCTTGATCGACTAGCGCAGACAGGATGGCGTTGGTTTCGACGCTGTCGAAGGCTTTCTCGTAGTCGACAAAGGTTAGGACGAGAGGCAGTCGGTACTCCCGGCAGACTTCTATGACCCTCGAAACGGTCTGGATGTGGTCCATGCAGCTGAATCCTTTGCGAAATCCAGCTTGTTCTTGGGGTTGGGCTTCATCCAGTGTCCTTGATATGCGAGCGAGGATAATCTTCGTGAAAAGCTTGTACAGCACACTCAGCAAGCATATTGGACGATAGTTCCGAAGATCCTCCCGTTCACCCTTCTTGAAGAGAAGGACGGTTCTTGACGTTCTCCACTGGTCGGGAATCTTCTCCTTCTGAAGGTAAGATGTCAAATGCGACGCTAGAATCTCGTGTAGACGGTGTCTTCCGGCTCGCAGAAGTTCGACGGAAAGATGATCTGGTCCTGGAGCCGTGGACGTCTTCATGGTCTGTATCGCGATACGCACTTCAGCAGGTAGAATTCGTGGTGGTACTTCTCCAGTGGGAACAACGGGCATCTGCACGGGTGTTGATGAGCGGAAGAGGTTGGTGTAGAAGTTCTTCGCGATAATTTCCATCTTGTATCGGGAAGAAGTCGGAGTCCCGTCTTCGTTCAGTAGTGCAGCCAGCGGTACGTGATATTCGCAGAGGTCCCTTCGACACTTCTTGAGACTTCGTCTTCTTTCTGCTGCTTCCAGTATCTTGGCTTGCCTGTACTTCCTGAGATCCTCTTGCAAAGCTGTTCTGCAACTGGTGTTGACAATCAGTCGCTCGAGATGAGTTGCATTCGGATCCTGCCTCAATGATCTTCTTCTTTCGAGCAATTCCTTGGTGGTCTTCGAGATGCGGTCCAAGTTCTTCTCAGAAGTCACTGAGGCGCATTCTCCGCAGGCTCGCAATCCTTTCAGAAGCCGGTCGTAGTCGTACGTTGGGTCCTCCTCGATGGGCCAGTCACAACTTGATATGAGCTCTTCCAGCCTGTTACCGTCATAAACGACTTCCTTCCTTCTCGCGGCACTATGACAGACTTTCTTTTCCAGCCTTCGGCTGAGTCGTATCTTCGCTCGAAGGAGGCGGTGATCGGAGCCACTACAGAAGGATGGAACTACAGAGACATCGAGTAAGCTCCACCTTCGGTTGGTGAGAATGTGGTCGATCTCCGCGTGGGTCGTTCCGTTGGGCGATTCCCATGTCCACCGGCGATGTTCCTTCTTCATAAAGATGGAATTTCCATGGAAAAGTCGTGCGGCGGAGAGAAGCCCAACAAGACGGTTGCCGTTTTCGTTCCGGAGCCCATATCCAAACTTCCCGATCCTATATTCCCTTTCCAGTGGCATCCCGATTTTCGCGTTGAAGTCGCCCACAACAAACTTGTAAAAGGACTTCTCGTTGCGGACGACCTCCTCCACATCTTCGTAGAAAGCATCTAGTTCTGATTCGTCAGCTGCTGATGTTGGAGAATAGCAGTTGATGATGCTGATGGTCTTCTGATGTGGAGGTCGTAGTCGTAGGATGCCTAGTCGAGGTGATAGGATCTCGTGCGAATCGACAAGATGGACGATAGATGGGTGGACGACAAAGCCGACGCCTCCCACGTTTCGTGATGGAACCTTTTCACCACGAATGATGAGGGTCCCATCACTCATCTGTCGCACGTCCTTCTTCCTGGACTTCGTTTCCTGCAGAGCAATGATGTGGTAGTTGATGTGCTCTGCAGCGTCGAGAAGAGCGTGGAGGTCGGCGTTTGTGGAGACTGTCCTGGCGTTGTAAGTGCAGAGCATGAGGCAGTCTCCATGGCGTGTCGTCCGGGCAGACGTGTCGTTTTTGTCCAATCCGAAAGGCGCCCTGAGTACCCTGACATCGTTCTTGCTACCACCCGGCGCCGTAGGCGGGATCCGATGTACAGGGTTTTTTCTAAATCTTCTTGCTGTCTGAGTAATAAAATTTGTTCCCCTACAAGAGGTGGCTTACTAGGCCTACTCTTGATTTCCACGGGGTGATCGCTGACCCCGGGCTTGGAGCGGGGAGGGACCGCCTAGCGACCAGAAGAAGCCAGACGGCGGAGAATCTGGCGCGGCCAGTTCTTAGCTAGGCATCCGGCCGAAACCGGAAACGTCGAACTCCTTCACAGCTTGGGAGGCCCTACCAGAGTATTCACTCGGCTGTGCATCGCAGTTCGACACCCAGTGTCACCCCCACGCCACGATGAGGCGACCGACCATTGTGGTGCAAATTGGTTGCTTCAAAACAAAGTAGGAGAAATTGCGCATTGTGGGTCCCTCCATTATTCTATACGTTTGATTCTGTTGTTTTAGAGTTATAGTTAGTAAGAAGGTTACAACACTGCTCTGTGTCACGAAGAGAAGAACTTACTCAGCGAACAGTTTTTGATTGATTCTAGTGGGTCCAGAGGTTTTGATTTCGCTTCGCCGTCAACTGAGGCGGCTTGTGGATCACTTGTATGTTGTTCCTCTTCTTCTTCAGTAGGATTGAAAAAGTTCACGCCGTTCAACGATGTCGGCATATCTGGAATCGTACAGAAAGTTTATCATACAAACATTAACTTCGAGTATGCCAAAGACAGCACTCCACTGATATGAGATTAGTAATGGATGTGCTGAATGATATCGGGATAGCAAATACCAGGAAATATGAGGCATTATCAAAATTCTTCCATATGTCCAGCAAGAAAAAAGCATTAAAACCGGGATTCCGGAGGAGTGCTCACGCGCCGAAAGTGTGACAGTTGTCGTAAAGTTTTCAGAAATCTTGAAAAAAAAACATTGTTTAAGGTTCTTGTTCATTAACAAAACGACAACCGCATCAATCAGTTTAATTTCATGAGGAAATTATTGCTTTCTGGCCATTGCTGGAGTCAGGCTAGACACATTACTTCGCTCATAACACGACACGAAATTCTTGAACCAAACGACAATATGGAGGAGAGTTGAGTCATTGCAGTCTGATGTTTTCGAAGGTCTGGTAGCCAAAAAAAGAAGGCGGAATGCTCTAAGAGTTGCGCAGTTGTTAAGGAAATGCATTCATAGAGACTGTAATGCTGTAATACTCCTAAAGAAGTGTTGCTTTGCAGCTCTACCAAAATTTCCACAAATTCTGGAAAGAGTACGAGTAAAGAAAATTGCTTTGGTGAATCTATGGAACTTGTTACAGAGTGGCATCAAATTAGGCAATTATAGAAAGAGATCTAGGGTTGCTTTGCTTGATCAAAGAGCACGCTCTTTTTTATTCTCACAACCAAAATGACCCGTCTATGGAAGGGCCCTTGCCTTGAAGCTATTCTCGCACAATCTCAAAAAATTATGGCAGTTCGTAATTAACGCCAGTATGGAAAAAGAGGGGATGGACACACGCCTCTACCAATGTCCAATTTTGGGCTGCGCAACAGACATGGAGGGGCAATTTCCACATTGGGGCAGGAGGTAAGTGCTCGGATGGGGTTATGATTGTGAGAAACTTGTTGAGATTAACCCCGAGTGATGCAGATATTTAATGTGCCGACCAGCGATTCTCGCAGAACGGAAAAAAGAAGGCTCAAGAGGAGAGGTAATAAAGAGTGTGCTGGACAGCATACGTCCTTCTGGCAAAGCGTAAGGTTTTATATGGGAATGGCACTATACACTTCTTGCCTATCTTTGCATGCGCATCAAATCGCAAAGCAGTAACCATTACCATGGTTGACCTCAAGAACAAGAAAAATCTTTGTGGAATCTGAAGATGATAGAAGTTTTTTTCTGACCTCGAACTAACGAACGCAAACGAGCTAACAACGTTTGATTTTATTCTGCTACTCAAATATCCCCACTTCCGAAAATATCCAATGCTTAGTAAGAGGTTCAAAAAAGATAATGCAACTTTTACATTGTATAACAATTCATTGCAACTTCACGATTACTTTTTAAATCCGAAAACAGATGAAAGCTCATTAGATATCGCTAAAAAGACTAGCCCCAATGCAACTTACAGGAGCGCTATCTTACAGTGAGAAGTCCGGGGTAAGCTTTGAGATTGAAAAAAAATAATAAAATGCCATATCGGATCGTTGGGAAATTTCCACCTTTGAAATATTCCCCATTTAAAAGTGTGATTACAGTGAAGGGTAGAATGCATAAAACCATGTTAAATATGGAATTTAAGGAACATTTAATTTGAGGAAAACTTTTCTATTCTAAACGTTTTGTTTTCACAAAAAAAATTGTCCACAATATGCAGCGGTAGACAAAAAGCGTACAAATAAAAACTTGTGTTTAATTATGTGGGGGCGTCTGGACACTGCAATTGTCAGGTCTTTCCTTAACTCGATCAAAATACTTTTTACAAAAGTGACATGCGCTGCTTCGAGCATCTTCCGGAGCGATCTCGCTTTGATGTTTATGTTCCGCCCCTGTGGTTCACATAAAGAGCTAATTTAACACTTATCATGGAATCTTAAGACACCAGATTTCCCAGGGCACCGGAAATACTGCAGCACACTAGAGGGTTTAGAGCCGGCGGTAATGTAGAGGAATATGAAGGCAAAAAATAGAAAAAAATCATGTATCAAAAATGTGCGCACTTTGGCTCTTTTTGTAAAGCTGGGATTGCAAACACATTATGGCCCCTTAAATAGACTAACATTCGCGAGTACATTTGTTGGAGAGGGTATGTCAATAAGATAATTTCTATGTATAATATTGAGATGCATGTAAGGTAGCTATGGGGAAAGAGCGTGATTCATCAAGTAAATTTTGATAGGTACTCAAACAATAGCGACCTTCAAGTGACTTTCAGTCGGACAGAATGGTTTGCTTTCCCTTGCAAGTAAATTGCATGAGACTGTTACGAATCGTATCTTGTTTGCTCGCGAACTCTACTTTGTTGGTTCGTTATTTCAATGAAACAAAGAGAGAAGAGCCGCTGAATCATGTGCTAACATTTGGTGCCGACATTTGCAAGAAAATAATCTCTTCTTGCTGTAAACATCAAAGCCACCGAAAGAATTTGAAAACAGGCGCGTCGTCAAAAAATATCTCGATACAGCACAATGTTGTGCAGAGGATATTTATAACCAAGACAGAGAGATACATTTCTGACAAAGTACGTTTACACACTTTTAGCGATGATTCACAGACAGGATTGGTCTATAGTGATGCAATTTGGGCATGATGTTACGTAGTAAGGCGATTTTAGATGATGGAGGGATTACCGCAAACAACAGAAAACTTTGAAAATAATCGCGTAAGCGTATTTTTCGTGGGCAGCATCAATGATCGCACGATAGGCGAGACGCACGATTTCTCGCTAAAGTCAACAATGGCACCTTTGTGGGCAGGAAAAGGCGCTGATAAGCTCTAAGTTTTCAAAGCGCAAAGCTATCATTGCTCCTATGGGGGCTGATAGGAATTTTAACGATTATGAGTGCTATTAAAACTGCAATAAAGGAAGGAGCTCTTGTTACAATGGGGAAGAGACAGCTTCGGACTATTTTAATGGAGAAAGATAAAGCAGCAGATGCTGGAAGCCACAAGCTATTATTTAGACAAAACCACCTTATAGGGCCAGCCAGTAACATCACAGCAATTATAGAACTGTTGGATAAATAGCTAACGTAGCAATCCTAGTGATAAGAAACTTTGAATTACTAGAGTAGAGGGGAAGTGGCAAGATTTGAGCAAGCCAGATCATATTTTCTAAACCTGGAATTGACAGAAAAATTTCGCAAATTTCTCCTTTGGCAAAACATAAGTAAATTAAACTCACTAAATCGACGATGGAACATAGCGAAACAGATGCTAGGTCTTTCCTCAAGAGTTGTAAGAATCGAAGTGAAGCAAACATGGCAAATACGGATTCTCCAGGATTAGGCTTTGCTGACGGCTTTCGGTCACGAGAAACGGATTTGCGCAAAATCTATATCCCGCTGATGTGTATCAAGTAAAGTTGAGGGCCATTACGGATGCAAATTCGAAGTGCAGGAAAAAATTGTCGAGGTTTATGAGCCAGGAGAAAGCAAAATAACTTTTACCAATACTGGAGATCCCTTACACGGTACATCATCACCACTGATTTGAGAAAAAACAAAACCACTGTTTTCCAGTTTGTTTCTAATGGCAAAACCCAAAAAAAATCATTGCATTTCGCTCCACAAGCAATAAAAGTTGGAGAATCCACAAACGAACACTTTTGTTACTTTAGTGGTCTCAGGCAAGCGTTGTATGAGGAATTTCTGCCAGCAACCACGATGTGCAGCGATGTCCGAGTGGTTAAGGAGATTGACTCGAAATCAATTGGGCTCTGCCCGCGCAGGTTCGAATCCTGCTCGCTGCGAACGTTTTGCGATGAGAGGAAATTTGAATTGACGTCATCCTGCGGAACCAAAGGAGAAAGTAAATAATTAGAACAGCACTAAAAGTATTTGTGGCGTAAAAAATATCCACATCAATAGAAAGTTCGTTTTCAAAATTGCACTGAGTTTTTCTAGAACTATAGTCCTACTTGGTGGTCAGTTTGAGTTTCGATTTTGAGTCTCAAAACCATTCGAAAGAAAATCTCATGCAAAAAAGAAAAACTCTCTGAAACGGATGAGTCAATATTAATTCCACTCACACCGACCGACCAGCACGGCCAACGCAGAGATAAATAAAGTACACCACCACTGGAATCCAAAGGTTGAAATGAACTTTACTAACGCCCACTGATAAAGATGCTTTTGTGTGTAACTGAAATCACGTTCTCAGGTTCCTCTACCAAAAAGCATCGTCTTCACTCACTCGTAACAAAAAACTGAGATGCTTTCAAGCACTTCTCCGCCTACTCTTTAGCTGGTAAAGACCGTACGTCATCTCAACGTAAATGTCTCTGATGTATGTGTACATTAGGCCGTCTGCAGACAATGAAGAAGATATGAAGAATCAGAACAGGTACAAATCAAACAGAGCTGGTTTACACTTGTGTAAACGCTCGCAAGGCATATAGAAATTGTCTGGCAAAGCTCGTTCAACCGAAATCTGACATTATCAGATGTGGAAAAAAAAGCTGCTTCAGGAGGTACCGAGAAAAAATCTTAACCGGTCCTTTGCAAATAAAAATAATTGCCTTGTTGAATCTAATGAAATACGAAGCCCTCTAAAAGCGTCTTTAGTTAGATGTATCGGCCTGATCTGATCAGATGATGCATAATATTTTTGCTCAATCACCGAGACCTAACTTTTACGGAAGAAGGGGTACTTTGGTGGCTGCAACGAGAGGTCTGTGACAAGGATTTTTACCAACAAATGTACTCTTTGTTATACGCTCTTAAGAAAAGCATACGCTACATGTAACAAGAGTTGCTTCTTCTGCTCTGATCTATAGTATACAGTGGCGGACCGATGGGGTTCCCCTCTCTCCCAATCCTGAGAACGGGGAATTTTTAAAAGCTACTTACCCTAGAATCCGTACAATAAGTCCGGACTTATCTGCATTTCGACGCGAAAAATCGATGAAAAAACGCCCTCTGCGCCGCCAAAAGTCTACCAGATAAGTCCTCCTAAATCCACTATCAGATAAGTCCGCAGCAGATAAGTTCGCCTATCCTGAGCATGAGAAAGCGGACCTATCTTCAGGACTCTTGGCGGCGCGAGGTTGTCAAGCAAGCGGACTTAACTGTTAGTTCCTTTGCGGACTTATCTGATAGGGCGGACTTATCTGATAGGCGGACTTATTGTACGGATTTTAGGGTACACGAAATTTGAATTTGTCTTGTAAAAAAATTTGCGCAGAGGCGTGGCTTCCGCCACTGTATAATATAATTTGTGAAAATTTGGGGTTATGGATCCGAAAATCTTGAAGAATAGAAAATTTTCGAAGTGCGTGGAGGCCACGCACCTCCATTCGAAAAAAATTCTTGTCCCACCCCCCCCCCCCCTCCCACCAATGGAAATCCTTGGACCGACACTGGGTTACCCAGTCTGGGTACTATACAACAGTAGAAAAAAGGCTTATAACAGTGTACATTATGCCACTCAAGCTGCCTAAGTTGGCAAAAATTTTTGCGAACAGCGCAAACCGCATATGAAATTGTCGTGTTTGACTCGATAACGTAATTTTGTAAAGGTGATCAAAACTGTAGTGGAGTGGGAAATTATTCAATACTTCCGGATGGTGATAGTACTCTAGACTACCGAAAAAGCTCATTAGAGGCTGTGCCCGGGTAGATCTGGGTGTCTGCTTATATAAAAACTAATCAGGTACCCCTTACTAAGACCGAGTAAATGCTTCTGAGATTCTAGAGTTGAATTGCACGAAATTACAAGTTCTGCCGCTAAGGCAATGGCTCAAAAACCTGAAAAGTAACCACAAGCAAACCACAGACATTCAAATTTGGAAATGCATTAAGAATACCGTATGCCCTACAGAGATGTATTCATCATGTGAGCACTTTCCTATCCTATAAAGTATCGTGTCTTAAGTGCATGCAGAAGGAATTGACGGCAAGATGGAAGCCAACACATGAATTAATGCGAAGACATCGCATGTTCAACATCCGTTATAAACGAAAACATCAGCAATGAACGAAAAGTTTAATGCTATATGTGAGATACAGGATGCTGAGCACGACATCGCTGTAACAACCTTCACATCAGTGACTATTCTTAAATCCTACAACACGAAGTACACAGCACTTTCAGAGGGAATTGGTTCGACGGATGTTCGCCTCAGACATTCGTGGATGTTTTATAGCCACACATCTTTTGCAGAGTGCAAATGCAGAGATGTTTGCAGAGAATTTGCGCCGACGACGTTTTTTTCACCGACCTCAGTACATACACAAAGAGCGTTTCGACTAATGTGCTACATTATTCGTTAAAAGTGTTTGGGTAATTTGAGCACCTAACATTCTTATGTGAAAAAATGAGTGAGGAGTCACAAGCCACTCACCAAAAGACAGCTCGTATGATTCATTTGAGGTAGAGAAATCAATTACGAAAACTTGCCCAAAACCGTAATCTGCGCGCCGTTCAGCGTCCTCTAATATGGTACTGGGGAGTTTTTGCAATTTCATTTCCCAGCCAAAAATACACTTTGTAAGCTGCTGCTTAGGCAACGGCTTAGTTAAGCTTCCCAGTCTGCAGAATTTATACCCCAATTTATCGCTCTCAAAAAGCTATCCAGATGTAATTTGTAAAGCTGAAGGCTGAGAAATGAGCAATACAATGAATGGAAAAGTGCAATGCGGCATAAATCTGGTAACAGTTGCAGAAGTGCCACAAGCTCAAAAAAAAGATCCTTTGCAAAGAGTTGCACAGCTTGCAGGAGGCTCACTAGTTTTTTACTACCGAGATAAAAGGTTGCGCAAAAGGTAAGACGAAACCAGAACGACAAGCGAGGCCGTTACATCACAGAACATTAGAGGTCACATTCGCAAAATGCTTGGCTTTTAGATGTTTACATAAATTAACTTAAATTATGATAAATGGCTTTGGTGGTTGCATGGGCTCTTTCTCGTAAAAAGAATAGAGGAGAGACGGAGATGGGAGTGCAGAAAGGGCAATAACGTCAGTGTTCTTTCTCAGAAGTGCAAAAAACGAAATGAAATTTGTAACCTCGGATACATGCACTTACGCTCAAAATTATTTTTTTATGCTTGAAATTATTTTTTTATCAAGTTACTCTCACTGTCTACCATTTTCTATTCATACGCCTATTACCATATGATTATTTACTACCTTAGAACAGTGTTATGTTTATGTCTTTGGTATTTACTATTGTTAACATTTATTATTGTCATTGTCATTCTTCTTCACTTCAGGAAGATTATTTATGTGAATTTGGCTAAAGGTTTTCTTTCCTTAGTGAGCCTCAATATAAAAACCATACCAGCAAATTATCTAGCTTCGAAAATTTGATGCTATAAATATTTGCTTGAAAAGGTGCGAGAGGAGATGTGGGGCAAGACCAGGGCAAAAACTTGATAATACAGTTGGCTATTTCAAACTATTACAAGTGAATATCTAGCTACTTGCTACTCATTTTACTGCAAAGTTCTACATGATAAGCAAGCTAATTAATAAAGAAGAGGTGGTACAAAGAAACTACCAGCTGCAGAGCTTCATAGTGTGACCACTTTGAAAAATAGAAGCTGCAGATGTATGGGAAAACAGAGAAGTAGAAAGAGCGAATCTGCAATTTGTTTAAACAGAATAGCTCCAAAAAACGTGGCAATCGACAGAGATCTGTACGAATACAATATAAATCATGCAAAAGCCCCAAGAGACCTTCCTTTGCAAAAAAACGGAATTTCAAGTCCTTTTCATGACTAATGCTGGATGAACAAGAACTTATGAGCTAAATCGCGACAGTCCACATGATTCTATTGATATTGCAACACACTCCACTATATCTGTCTCGTATCCTATTTGTTCAGCGACAGAATGCAAACATTAGTGGCAGAGAACTTTGCGAAATACAGGAAAAAATTCTAAACCGTGAAAATTGCATGGATATTAGCGGACAGCTGACAAATCATCGTCTCATAAATCAGGGTTTTTCAAGACGTGGTTGTATCACAAGCGAATGACCTTCAATGAGCGATTTGCGTAAGGCAAGCGGAACGGTACACGATTAGAAAAAGGAGTCTAGACGATTGTTGTCGGAGATATCGTGGCAATAGCTGCAAAAGGCAAAAAGAAGATAAATTTGGGTCATTATTTTTAGTGAAGGAAGCACTGGATAAAAAGGCGAGACAATTGTTCTGGTATAATTGTAGGGATGAAACGATATGCAGTGTGGACCATGTTCAGAAAGAGCTGAGAAACACCCAGACATAGGGCTACCACGGCTGGATCGATATTAGCACGCACCCTAGGAGCGCTGGCTACTATGCCACCGTGCCTCGGCGGCCTCGCATCAACAGCTGATCGCTGAAATTTGCTAGCAAACACTTTAATCGATGGCTTACAGCACTATACTAGGCGAACAAGTGCACTTATGAAACGCACAGAGCTATTCATCACTTTTAGCGAGTCTCACAAAGTAGTGTTTGAAGTTTTGGCGCTCTCAAAGGAAAAGCTGATTATTAGATGTACAACGAAAATGTTTGGTGCCAGCTTCTTTATTCGTAGAGGACGTTGGACCGAAAAAGTTCAGCTTGGACGGAGTACTGGTAGAGCCGATGACGTGCAGAGATACATAATTTGTGGCAAATGTCCGCGCGAAGGGGCGACGTCATGCAATTAATATCTGCTTACTCCATTCCTGTTCTGTTCGCTCCGTCGTTTCTACAAGATTCTGCAGTATAATCCTCCTTCCGACCAGTAGTCTTTTAGGCAGTGAAAACAGAGGTCAAAATACCCTATTTTCAAGTGTATAAGCCGCAATTTTTCAAATTTTCTCATGAGCTGCTCAGTCGCTTCATTGTGTATCGAAAAGCGATCCTTATGCCGCACAATTCTTTCAGACGATACGCAGCAGGGGTGTAGGGACCTTTGGTTGCAAGGTCCTTTGATGTGTTCCGACTGGTCGATGTAAGCTAGGCCCGCGGCTTATAACCTGAAAATAGGGTAGATCCTTCTTAGATTTTGGTACCATTAGATAGCAAACCCCCAAAGTACACAATAGCTCCAGTCCCACTTTCCAATTCGTGGTCTAAGGGAAGGATACTTGGATGCCGCGGCCATTCCTAATGGTTTGTATACCAGAAAATGCGCCTTCGAATGCAGATTCTGAATCTGTGCTCGAAATCTGCGAAACGATCTTTTGAAGAAAGTTATGAACTTTTTTCCTTGAAAAATTTAGCCTACTTTTGGATAGTAAAAATCACCAGATTTGATCCAGCCTACCGTTTGATGCTACTGAAGAAAATTTTAAACGTAGTAATATTTATTTAGACTATCTG